TATTGACGGCCAAAGATACATTATGGTCGAGTGATGTTCGACACCTCTATGGTTCTAGAGCCACCTTTGGTCTGGCACGTAAGGGTCCTAGTCCTGCTCATGGTGGATTCTAATCCGAGTGAGGCTGAAGCAGGATCGGGACGCAATTTTGGGACGAACTGCGTGACAATGCCTTGATGGAATTTAATGATATGAAAAATTGGACTTTAGATGACAAAGTAAACAGAACGAGAAAAGGTTGTTCAAATAAGAACTTAATAAATCCAGATTACTTAAGGTGACTTATGCATTGATAGTTTAGCTTTTCCACAATCAAATGAGTAGGCCTTATAATGCCATTATATTTTCATAGTCTTGTCTCCCTAAAGGCTATCTCACACAGAGGGGACGGCCGTTTCGGCCACTAAAAGAGATTCTATACCGGGTCTTTGGTATCCTAGCGATGTTGGTACTACACCACAGCCTCGGGTACTCAAGGGTCACAGGGCATATGCAAATTTGCAGGTAAGCCAGACCTCTCTCAACACACATTTATGGTAGGATTGTCTATTAGGCAATCATACGTTTGCCATTTCAATAAGTGATATTACTTAATTTTGATGTAAGTAGCTTTCTATTGTATCAGTACTTCCGATACAAGAACTGGTACCCTTAGATCACCTTAGCCGAGCTAGAATAATTAAATTCTTATTCAAGAATTATTGATAGGCTATGGAACTACTCATATCGAAATTAATGTAGTTTATACTTACCAGCCTGGGACAACATTTCGGGATCTAGTTTACGTCCACCTCTAGACGGTTGTGGAATATCGCTTTTAATCCCGGCGGCGCTGAGTATAGAATCGATTCCGAATTTGGGTCTTTGCTTTAGGGTCTGAAGTGAACGGGATGTGTTTTTAAGACTCTGCGCTCCGTTGGCTACCTCGCTCAGGTCTGTTGCGCCACCAGTCGGCTCAGGTGGGTGCATCATAGAACAATGTCCTTGAATGACGGGAAAAAGTATTTCTTGCGCCATACTCTGCAAAAGTCGGCCAGTTAGAATGCACTAGTTGGTGCAGGACACGAGTGTCGTCCACTTGTTGTCCACATTAGTTGCCGGCTAACTGGCGAAGGCAGACAAACGTCCAGTACAACTATGAGGGGGGTGGAATTGCTCATTTCTATCTACCAAAGCATGGGGTTGGTTAAACGATTCGCGTGCAGGTGTGTCTATAAGTCAGTGTGGATAGGAGGTGTGGTGGAGGAGAGAGTGATGAGGACCCAGAGTGAGGCTGAGCGGCGAGGTCTGGAGGTAGGGCGGAAAGTGAAACGGGTGTGCTCTGGGGTGGGCGATCGGGTCGGTAGGCAAAGGTGGAAGAAAGTAGGAGGAATTCAAGAGGAAGGGGGTATGAAGTCTGGGGAAAAATGGGAAGAGGAATCGGAAGGGGTGTGAGATGCGGAGACTGTCGGCAG